ATTTTGACAGCGCATTAACGGGTGGCCTTTTACGGCCGGATTGGGTTATCTTTGGTCAGAAATAAGCGGCCGTATATGGCCGCATTGGGGCGCAAAGGGTTAAAGTCCAAAAATAGGTCTTTTTATTTCACTTCTATGCTTGAGTCTGCATGTCTGTTCGTCTGCACCTGTATCTCAGTCTTGCCTGAGCCAATGATCTTCAAACTTCACACATCATAGTGCATCTTGGGATACATTTGCACATGCATTCATTTTGCGATTAAATTCAAGATAGCCAAAAGGCAGCCATTTAAGTGTTAGCAATTCATCAAAATCAAGCATTTCTTTCATTTCAAAAGCAGATCAAATCTAACTTTCCACCGGCTTTATACATGACAAATTCTGATTCAAAATGGCTGATTGGTTTTCGTATTGTTTACTATTGCAAGACAGGGACTTTGTCATGTCATTTTTGGATCAAATCAATGCACTTTTTTGTCACAAAACTTGAATAATATTTTAGAGGAAATATTAATATGATTAATTATTATCAAAGAGAAAATTTTGTGAAATTCATATGAAATAAAATTTGTTTACACATTACATTTATTCTGTATTAAAAACTTGCCTTGCTGTATTCAAAATGTTACTTTATAGGGATTATCAAGTGATGAACTACATTTTAGTGAAAAGTGGTTCCACGGTAAATTGAAACAACCCAGAGACACAGCTGAGCAATTGATAGTGGAATACCACGAAGGGGACGGTACATTCCTCGTCAGGGAGAGTGACACTTTTAAGGGTGACTTCATACTGTCTTTTTGGTAAGTTAGGGGTAAAAACGAGATGGTTGCCTCCAAAAAAATTGTTTATACTCGGTAGTACAATTTTATGTTTATAGTTTCTCAGCTTATTGGATGTTGAAGGTAATGCTGCCTGAGACTGTCTAACTGTAAATTTAGCCCCCCCCCCCATACATTTACTTCACAGCTGGTTGGCAGCAAATGGCGTATTAAAATGTCCTATAATGTCATTGTGATATCAAGATGATCCCAAACATTGAATGTTTCAGTGGCAAATTGTATTATCCATGTGGTATGCACTTACCCTTTTAATCAGAACAGATAACATTGACACTCGTATCCATGGTGATGTCTGACACAACAATAATTTTTGACTCCCGTGTGCGAAGCACAAAAAAGGAGTCTTTGCAGTTAGTGTGTCTGTATGTGTGTGTGTGTGTATGTGTGTCCGTCTGTTCCACTGATATCTCAAGAACCATACATCAGTTTTTGATGAAACTTGGTGCATAGATGCTCTGGGCCAATGCGCAGATTTGATCAGGTTTTGGTGAAAATCCATGCATATTAATTACCTAATTTGCATGATAATTAGCTGATTTTTAGCTGTTCCATGACTGTTCCACTGATATCTAAAGAACCACCC